TTCCACCGCAGGGGGCCTGGGCTCAATCCCTGGTCAGGGAACTAGATCCCATATGCATGCCGTAACTAAGAGTTTGCATGCCACAACTAAGGAGCCCATGTGCCACAACTAAGGAGAGGGTGAGCCACAACTAAGGAGCCCAGAAGCCACAACTAAGGAGCCCAGACGTGACAACTAAGGAGACTGCCTGCTTGGACTAAGACCTGGTGCAACCAAATAAATAAATAAATAAACACTTAAAAAAAAAAAAAGATGAGTTTTGCACCTTTTTTTTTTACACAAAAGTTGAGTGTTCAAAACTTTTTGACTTTTCTATGATTATAAATGGCCACGAGTAAATTGCTACCTAGGCAAATATCTCCCCGCATTCCACACCTCCACACCAAATACATCTGATCTGAATCTTCAGGGTAAAAGTCATATATCATCTAAGACACAGAAAGGAACTTTTTTCAGAAAGAAACATGATATGGAGCGAGCATACTGAAAACGGTTATTCAGAAATATTTTCATCATTATACGATTATGTTGCGATAAACTATGCTTGACACCTATAAACACTTTCGTATCTGCACAACTAAAAAACTTGGAAGCAGAATTTTTCTCAGTTTAAAATCTTTCAAGGAGTTTCAATAAGTTTAAAACCCATTTACTAACAAAGTAAATGTGCAGCATCTTCTGATTTATATGCAAGAATAATCCACCTCAAGAATATGGATACTTACTCGCCCAATTCCAACTTTTTAAAAAATTTGCAAAGCTGACAGAACTGCAAATTTTAGTGTAAGGGCAGTACTGCTTCCATGTGGATCTGCTTATTTCTGGAAGGCATCTTTTTCAGCTATAGAAGCCCTTAAAACCAAATACTAAAATAAACTGAAATTAGAACCAGACTTCTGAATCATTCAAAAGGGGTTAAAATAAGGTTTTCAAAAATAGTAAATTTCCTAAAAACATCCATCACGTTGCTCTCCTTTATAGAAATTGAGTGCATATTATAAATTATAGATATAACTGTTTCAATGATCTCACCTTTTCCTTTTATATGTATGTTTCCTAACATACATAAGATAATTATTATTTAAAAAGAAATTTGCCACTTATTTTTTTAACATCTTCATTGGAGTATAATTGCTTTACAATGGTGTGTTAGTTTCTGCTGTATAACAAAGTGAATCATCTATACATATACATATGTCCCCATATCTCCTCCCTCTTCTGCCTGCCTCCCACTCTCCCTATCCCACCCCTCTTAGGTGGTCACAGAGCACCGAGCTGATCTCCCTCTACTATCGCCCATCTCTGGAGCTTGCTTAGGTGGTGCTCTGCCTTCTGTGGGCACACTGGGAAGGAATCCCCTCTCCTCGTGCACGCCGAAACAAAGGTCTTTCGCCTCTCTGGCAGCTCCAAACATTTTCCCCGGACTCCCTCCCAGCTAGCTGTGGCGCACTAGCCCCCTTCAGGCTGTGTTCATGCAGCCAACCCCAGTCCTCTCCCTGGGATCCACCGAAGCCCGAGCCTCAGCTCCCAAGTGCCGGTCGGCGCCGTTCCTCCGTGCGGGAGTCTCTCCGCTCTGCCCTCCGCACCCCTGTGGCTGCGCTCTCCTCCGCGGCTCCGAAGCTCCCCACCTGCGCCACCCGCAGTCTCCGCCCGCGAAGGGGCTTCCTAGCGTGTGGATACATTTCCTCCTTCACAGCTCCCTCCCACTCGTGCAGGTCCCGTCCCTATCCTTTTGTCTCTGTTTTTTTTCTTTTGCTCTACCCAGGTATGTGGGGATTTTCTTGCCTTTTGGGAAGTCTGATGTTTTCTGCTAGCGTTCAGTAGTTGTTCTGTAGTTGTTCCGCATGTAGATGTATTTTTGATGTATTTATGAGGAGGAAGGTGATCTCCACATCTCAGTCCTCCGCCATTCTGAACATCTCTCCACTTATTTTTAAGCACATAAATAAACATATATTTGGGGCAGGGGCTTGCAGGGATTAGAGATCACCCTTAAAGGGAAGGAGGCCTAAGACTGCCTGGACATAGGAGGAAAGCTGACCACAAAGATGCAAAGAAGAAATGTATTAACAAGGCCAAACAGCACAGATAATGCAACACACACATATGGACTGGCCAAGGAAGGAATTGCAACTGCAGTAATAGAAAATGTGTTCCAGAATAATCCAACCTTGAGATGATGCTGAAAGGAGAGAATCTCAGCAGCAAACAGCAACCAACGTAACAACCGGCAAGGTCACCACACACTCAGGGCAACAAACACACTGGTTCATTCCTTCATCAAGGATTTATTGGCCATTTATTTTGTGCTAGGGACTGTGATAGGTACTGGAGTAAACCATGAACTTGGCAGAAAATCTTCCTTTGAGGAGGTGACAGGCAAGTGGAGGAAATAAGCATGTTAACTTATGACTAAATGCAATGTGATTAACTGAATTTCAATGATCTCTGAAAGGAAAAACAAAAAACAAAAAAAGAACTGGGACCAGAAACTAATAAGCTTCTGCACCATGTCACCCACGCCTAGACATAAGACACAGTTATCAATCTCTTACTTAGTAGAATTCTGTAATTAGTGTACTGTTCTTACTGATACCTGTTAGATGAACTAAAGTTAATGGTTTACTTTCTGGTTAAATTAAGCACAGTTCTATAGAATAGGCAGCAATTATAGACATACATATATTTCCAATTCCCCAATACTAAGGATTGTTCTGTTCAGATTTCGTTGCTATTTCTCTTCTGCCTGGACTGTCCCCTCACCTAAGACCATCATCATTCTTCTTTCATGTTGGCTCTCTTCCTGAGTTCGAGGCCTTGTTCTCAGCCTCTGCTTGTGTCACCATCACCTGCACCGTCAGGGCTTTTCCCCCTTTCCTATACCCTCTGCACAATGACCACTGCCCATTAATGGTCACTAGGGAAAGGTTCTCTTTCCAGGCCAGGGATCCTGCAGCCCTCGGGCTTTCCTGAATCTCAGCCCCTGGGTCTTCTGGCCAGTTGATTCTGTGTTCTGTTTGCACTTGAGGAGCTGGGGAGGGGCTTTTCAACGCTCTCCTTTGCCAGAAGAACAACACAGATTAAGTTCTAACGTGTTAAAGTTCTAAAGTTTCCAGACTTGCAGCCATCCAGGAATTTTACTGTTTAACCACTTCAGACCAACAGCCAGGTCAGCTATGTTAACTTTCACCTTAACTTTATGGTTGAAGTAACCCTTAAGATTTCTCACCAGCACAGTAATGTGGTTTCACAGCTTGTAGAAATTCTGTCTCCCTCCCATTTCTCACTGTATATACTATATTGTGAATGTTTGATTTTAGCCCAACTGACATTTTTTAAGTGTTTTTACTTTTGTGCATAAAACACCAAATCATATGGTATTATGAACAGGGATGTGTGTTTCAAATGAAACACATCTGAATGTATTCAACTAACTCATTCAAAAAAAATTCTCATTATCATACTAGATAGTCAAAATCTGAATCAGCACTTCTCCATTCAGACTGGCCACACATCCAGAGTTCAACGGCCACATGTAGCGCTTATGCTGGCCAGTTCTAGAAAACCGATTTGTTCATGTGGATGAGAGCATCAAATGAGGAGAGACACAGGTCATTAAATAAATTGTTTCTTCACAAACTAGAAAATATGTTTCTAGAGTCGAAAACAATGCCCAAGAAGTAGTCTTTCCTCCAAACTAACAAGTATTAATTTCTAAGCTAAATAATTTTATGTCAATATAAATTACAATTAGCAATCTAATAAATTCTAGTACCTTAGATTTTTAAAAAAATTATCTAACACCCACCATTGTCTGTGTGTCTACCGAGAGTGGGAAGTATAAAGAGTATCCCTGTTCTTTGGCACTCACAGTCTGATGAAGGGGTAGACATGGCCATTAATGTTTGACATGTAGGACAATGACCAGGGCCGCTTAAACAAGTGAAGGAACACAGGAAGACTTCACAGAAGAGGTGACATTGGAGCTGAGTCTTGAAGGATAAACAGGAGTCTTCCAAATGAACAAAAGAGGAAAGAGCACTGCAGCCAGAGGAAAAGCACACTTAAAAGGCACAAAGGGCAGAAGAAGCTGGCAGTGTTTAGGGAGCTATGTGAACGTTTGCATAAGTTGTACAGAAGAAGAATACGGGGAGAGGAGAGGCTAGAAAGAGACAAGTAGGGGTCCTTCATGATCAGGTTCATGTTTGATAAGATCACTTTGACTGTAGTTTGAGAAATAAAACGAAGAGGACCAGACTGAAGGCAAGGAAGCCACAGCTGAGGCTCTTGCCCAGTTCAGCTTAGAGATGCTGAGAGTCTGGACAAAAGGCACAACAGGGCGAGGAGAGAAGGGAACAGATATACGAGGGTTTCAGAAGCAGAATCAACAGGACCTGGTGAGAGGTAGGATGTGGGGTGTGAGTGAGAGAGCAGGACCCAGGAAGCCCCCTGGGTCTCTGGTTATAACCAAATCTTCCCCCCACAAAATTCCCGTTCCCTGGCTGTGATGGCATCTGCCAACCTTCAGCCCAAATTTCATTTCCAAAGCAGATACCACCCATAAACAGAAATAATTTCTAACTTACAGGATATCAGATCTTAAACTCGTAAGTGATTGACACGCAGAACAGCAGAGATGGAAACAAATCGGCCGAAATTAAAATATTTAAATCATAAAAGGTTTCAGTCCTTGAACCATCAAAAGCTACAAGGTGTCAGACATAAAATTTCAGGTTGAGTAAGTGAAGCCATGATGAAAGGGTATAATATTCTTGGAGAACTTTGTACACAAAGCAAACGCCAATAAATCATTTAATAATTGCTGAATCTCCATATGCATGCCAGACTGACCCAGGCCCATGACAGGACTTAATGAAAGTGTCCACTACAGATGAGTTTATTTTCCCCTCACACTCTGAGCTGGAGCATAGTGCCTCATAAATATTTAACTTAAACTATAAAACAGAAAGATCAACCTGGGACATTAATACCAGAAAGTTAAGCTGAAAATCATATGGTGATAGCCTCCGTTTTAATTAATGTTCTATTACACACACTGCTATTGATTTTTTTAAATGGTTTCATGTTCAGTATCTAACAATTACACTGAAAACACTACAGCCCATATTCACATTATTGTGCAATTTCCACTAATTTCTGACAAGGGAAAAATACACAAGTTTGGCTCTTCTCTGGCACAAAACCTTGATTATTTGGCTGTGGTCATCAGGATTTAAGATGCTGAGGAGTCTTCGTAAAGCACTTCATCTACCTTCATGTCATTTTCATCCACGGGGACCTGAAGGCAAATCTGCTCTTTGAAAGCCAAGGCCAGGGTGTAGGGCCTCACATCCTGGGACTGCAGACAGCGCTTCAGGTAGGCATCGTAGTAGCCCTTGCCCCGCCCCAAACGGTTGCCGTGTTTGTCAAACCCAAGACCCGGCATGAAGATGAGATCAAGTCCCCCTGCGGAAATGAGGAATAAATTTACGAAGGTTAATGGTGTCTGGAAAAGACTGATCGCTTCCAGATCTGGTTTTTGTTTTTTAATGACATCTATTTTTTTCTGATTTTTAAAGAAATACATGATCACTCTAGAAAAATCCTAAAAGTAAAGAGTTGGACAAAGAAAGAAGTAAAAATTACTCAGCTACTAGTAAGTCCGTCATCCATCCCCAGCCGTCCTTTCATGTATACCTGTACAAAAATGCCAGATTCCCAGGCCCCGTCCACACCTAGTTAAAGAGAATCTCCAGGGATAGGGCCTAAGAATTCCTTTTTCTCTAATTTTCTTTCTTTAGCATACAGCTGACCCTACATACTGTCCCAGGACACTGACAACGGAAGGAGTGGGAGAGGGTCAGAAAGAAGCCAGAAAAGATGGAGCTATTCTCAAAGTCGATGAGCAGAAGGAGGGTTAGCTGTTAAGAGGACCAAGCTTACCCTCTTCATTTCCCCTTACTGGAGAGGGAAGGCCGGGTTGTCCTGCTTCCCTGGATTCACATGAGGGCAACCTTCGACCCACTCAGGAACATTCCAAAGGTACAAGATGGGGTCCCATAATTGGTCCTCTGGCTGGAACTCTCCCAGGGAACACAGGGCCCAGAACTGGCCATGGCATCATCGGGGCAGAGCAGGCTGCTGGGGCTCAAGGTAGAAGGCAGGGTCTTGAAAGCTATAAAAAGCTGACCACAGTGAAAGGTGTGATGAATGCTATAAAGGTCACGAGGATGTCCATGGATTTTTGTGAGGTCCAGGGAATGGTCCTCCAGCCCCTTGCAGGGAGCATGACACACCAGCACTACTCAAGAGGCACATCGCTTACGCAACGCAGCAGTCTGCCTGTAGCCTTCCTGTACTGAGCCTTGGCCTTTTGAGGGCTGTCCTGGGGGCTTCTGGGTGACCTACAGCTTATCAAGGGCTAACCACTCATGCAGCATTGCTGGCAAGGACATATCAGGGTTGGAAGCCATGAATTCTCTGGAACAGGGTGTTCAGAGTAGAGGTATTCAGACTGCCAGCTAGGCTGGCCCCCACTGTCAGCAGCTGTTACAACTCCCTGCAGAGCCGTGAGGTGAACTCAGCTTCTCTCCGGCTCCCAGCTCACACCTGTAATCCCTTGCCTGCAAAAATCTGGCAGAGCACGCCTCAGATTACAGTCCTGACCTTCTCATGGAAAGCTGCTCGCCTACTCCAATCCCAACTTGCTAAGAGGCCCTGGTCTCTGACTTTCATCTTTCCTCCCTGTCCCTGCCCTGCTCATCTCTCTTGGGAATAATGGTGGCTTGTGCACTTGACTTTGCTTCCTCCAAATCCTCCTGCTGTTGCCAGAGCACTCCTGGGCTTAAAGTTCAGCTCCGTCATTATACCCAGAACACACACGCACACATCTTTTCCTAGGTTTCTTGCGTCTTTACAGTGTGGCAAAGGTGATTTGTAAAGTCCTCTGGGGGATACACAGATACATCCCTGCCCTTCAGGAGACGGAGTTCAGTTAACATAAAAAATGCACACATGTAACATCCATTCCAACGTAAGGTATCAGTGCCTGCCAACTGCCCAAAAAGCATTAGGGACAAGAAGTCCTAGAGACTTCAGCAGAGGGAGAGCGACATGACCACATGGGTGGTCAGGGAAGGATCCATGGGCAACTTTGACTTGACCTAGGTTTTTAAGAATGTGCCAGAGTTGGATCTGAGTGTATTTCAGAAACCAAGAGAAGGAGCTTCCCTGGTGGCACAGTGGTTGAGAATCTGCCTGCCGATGCAGGGGACACGGGTTTGTGCCCCGGTCCGGGAAGATCCCACATGCCGCCGAGTGGCTGGGCCCGTGAGCCATGGCCACTGAGCCTGCACGTCCGGAGCCTGTGCTCCGCAACGGGAGAGGCCACAACAGTGAGAGGCCCGTGTACCACACACACACACACAAAAGAAACCAAGGGAAGGATGGCAGGAGCAGAGTGATGAGGAGGGAATAAGGCTGAAGGACCAGGCTGAGGAGTAGCAGAGGCATGTGGAATTCGTCAGGTAGGGGCAGGAAGATTTGGGAGTTAAAGGCAAAGAGACCCCTACAATCCAAAAACAAATAACCCAATTTAAAATAATGGATGAAACACTTGAATAGACATTTCTGCAAAGAAGACCAAAAAATGACCAAAAGGTATATGAAAAGATGCTCAGCATCATTAAATCATCAGAGAAATGCAAGTTAACACCTCCATGAGACATCACCTCACACCTGTTAAGACAGCCATATTTTTAAAAAGCAGAAAACAATAAATGTTGGCGAGGATGTGGAGAAATTGGAACATTTGTGCATTGTTGCTGGGAACATAAAAAGATGCAGCTGCCGTAGAAAACAGTATGGAGATTCCTCAAAAAACTAAAACTAGATCTACCATATGATCCAGCAATCACGTCTCTGAGTATTTACCCAAAAGAACTGAAGTCAGGGTATTGAAGAGATCCTTGTACTCCCATGTTCACTACAGCATTATTCACAATAGCCAAGAGTTGTTAATAACCTAAATGTCCATCAACAGACAACTGGATAAACAAAATGTGGTACATACAATGCAATATTATTCAACCATGAAAAAAAGGAAAATCTGTCATACACTACAACGTAGAAGTACCTTGAGGACATTAGGTGAAGCAAACTAAGCCAGTTGCAGAAGGACAAATACTGCATGATTCCACTTACAGAAGGTATCGAAAGGAGCCCAACTCATAGAAGCAGAAAGTAAAACGGTGGTTGCCAGGGGCTGGGAGAAGAAGTAAATGAAGAGTTAAATCTACTGTACAACATTAACAAGCCTGTACCATATATTTTAAAATCTGTTAAGAAGGTGGATCTCATGTTATGTGTTATTTACCATAATTTTTTTTTTAAGGCAAAGGTAACAAAAGGACAGCCAGGAAAATTTCCATCAGAGTCAACACACGAGAAAAAGAAGGTAGAATTTCAGAGCATTCACCTGTGGGCAGTTGGCAGACGAGAATGAAGAAAGGAAAGAGAAAGCTAAGAAAACAATGTTCTCAAATCCCTTGCGTTAGAATTAATGCTGCCCCCTCTATTCCTGCTCCTCTCTGTACTCTGATTATAGCTCTCCCGGAAGTCTACCTTGTACTACAGCTGTTTGTATATGTCTCTGGCTGCCCTACCAGATCGAAAATTTCCTTGAAGACCATAATTTTTCCCAAGTCATCCTCCATGCTTGAATTTTAATAGAATTCTAGGCCAACCTGAAAGATGAGTGTATATATATATATAT